CTGTCAAACCTCCTGCTAGTCTGAGGTGTGCCTTGACATCCGTCAGCCGGCTTTAACGGGGAACGCAGATCTGTGAAGCGTGAGCCGAGTGGAGACGGACGACCTCCTGCTCGACCATCATAACGACATCTCAGGAACTGCTGGAGACAGAAGTCTGACACTTTGACTTTTATTTCTGATCGTGTCACTGATTCAGAATCTGCAGCGTTGGACAAGTTGGACCAATAATGTCTTATTAGGGCTGAATTAAAATATACATTTAAAAAATAGAAGCTGTCGTGAAAAGCGCCATCTCTGAGTTCACATGAACAAAACTGTCACCTATTTATTTATTATTCATCTCTAGGCTCGACAAACCTCTTGTTTTTATCTTTTACACAGTTTGTTTGTTAATTTATCATTTATAGTTCTTTGCACCCAGTTTTGTTGCACTTTTTTTTGGTATAATGACATTAAAAAGGATTCTGGGGGGAAAAAAACTGATAATGCAAAAGTCAGCTCGGGATAATTTCTGGACTACATGTAGCTGCAGGTCACCTACAAAAACAAACAAAACATTTAGAATCATTTTAATAGGAAATACTCAGTCAGATGATGGAAATAAAGTTAATTTGTTCAACCAGAAAAAGCCTAATTCAAGTAGAAGAGAGTTTCACAGTGGTTCTCCAGATATTACTGACCTACGTGCATAAATTTTATTTTCAAAAAAGCCATTTTTCTTTTTTTCTAAACCAATAGAACGATGAGAAATTAAAATTTCAGGCTTTTATCTTTTAATAGTTTCTCTTGTTGCTCAAACAGCCTCAAATTTCAATAATAATAAACAACAACAACTCGGAAAGTATGTAATTTATCCAGCGGGTATCTCAGTCATGTCTTTGTGAATATCTCTATTGTACGCTACAAAACATTCAGGCAAATCAGAAATGGTCGAGTAAAAAATTTAGAAATTCAAATGGAAAGATGCACAACATAAATAAGAGAACATCATCATGATTCTACAGTTGGGTGTTTTATATGAGCTGTTGGGTGCATAATGACCGGCTCTCATCACTCATGATGATGCTGAGCTGGTCCCTCATGTCGTCACTGACGGATGGACACGCCGTCCCATCAGCCTGCACCAAGTATGTTCACATTACACACATTCTTGTGCGTCCTGCAGGGTAATAAAACCGAGCATTCCTTTCACTCGATACACACCAACACACACACACACACACACACACACACACACACACACTGCGTCTTTTGTTCGCCGAGTGGAGAGGGACTTTACACGACTTGGACTGCGTCTTCAGAAACCGCCCTCCTTCATTAATCCTGTGTGTTCTTCACTCTGCTGAACAACGAGCCTGCTTTCATGTGGCTTTGTGGAGTCTTACGAGGTGCTTGAAGTTTATGGTTCTGGTTTGTTCTAATGTGTATTCAGACATCAGCGAGGCGTTAAGTCGGGTCAGGGTGAATGCAAGCTGAACGTGGACGTCAGATGTTAGCACACTTTGAGCCAAATGCAGTGTGGCGATGTGAGCGTCCTTGTGTAACCCAGACGGCCTGGACGGATCCTCACTTCATCCACTGAGACGTTTGAAACTCAGAGGAGGGAGTGGGACAGGTTCATCATTAGCCAGCCGGCGTTTTCTCTAAAATGTCCATCAGTCACTTTAATGGCCTCCATTGACTTTTTAAACCTGTGGATGCTGGTGCCTGGGTGGACGGAGGAAACCGATAATATATCGGCAGCAGATGTTTGGGCGGTTGGAGGCCTCCTTCAGTGTGTGTCGTCAGTTTTAGCGAACAGTGTGTGTGTCCAGGCTGCTGCAGCTTCAAGTCGTATGTTTGTTTAGATTTTTTTAATTGCAAAATATTTTCGTAAACTCACAGATTTTATTTTATTTTTTTCTTGATTCATGTGTATTTTTATTTTGTCGAAGTCTGTTCTAAAACTTTTGCAGGGTGGATGATTAACTGTTTTAAAAACCGTATTCACACGTCTGTATCGTGTCTGTTTTTTAACATCTGCTCTCAGAAACACAGATTCAGACTTCTGAACTCATATTAGAGCATCAGTTTTAATATGTGTGGATGAATTAGTCCAACATTACATCTTGTCATTGAAGAACAGTTTGACAGTGTTTGAACAGAGAGATGGGTGAGCTGGTGTCATGGTTAATTTTAATGGAAAATGCTTCTCCATATGTAATTTGGATACATAAAGTTGAGCTTTTAGGGGTTTAATCAGTGTCCAAAGAAGGACTCTGTTTAATTTAACATTTACTTTATAGCACAGTTGAATTTCTTTCCTTATTTCCTCATTTGTTGCCCTCAAAAGGAGCTGCAAGGTGGCGCGGTGGTTAGCATCGTTGCCTCGCAGCTAGAAGGTCACCAGTTGGCGTCCCGGTGAGGACACCCGGGATCTTTCTGCATGGAGTCTCCATGTTCTCCCCGTGCAGCGTGGGTTTTCTCCGGGTTCTCCGGCGTCCTCCCACAGTCCAGAAACATGCTGAGGTTAACTGGTGATTCTAAATTGTCCGTATGTGTGAATGTGAGTGTGCTTGGTTGTCTGTCTCTAAGTGTAGCCCTGTGATAGACTGGTTACCTGTCCAGGTGAACCCTTTTAAAATATTCCATGCAATACTCCTGTTTCCATGTCAAAAACTCACATCAAGTGAGCTGCAGACAACTTGCAGTCCAGATTTCAGTTTAAAAAAGCCAAAAAGAAGCTGCAGGTCACTATAACAAAGCTTATGAAGTACTTTGTCACTGCAATCTGCTGTTTACAGTTTACACGCCTTTGCCTGATTAGAATCCTGCAAACAAAACCAACATGAAACCCCACTGCTCCTGCTCCTGCCCCTGCCCCTGCCCCTGCCCCTGCTCCTGCTCCTGCTCCTGCTCCTGCTCCTGCTCCTGCTGAGAATCAACGGTTGCTCTGTGCAGCTTCCACGTGCTTGGTTTTGGTTTGGTGGTCAGCCGGTTTTCACCGACCTCCTGCGACACCGCAGAGGAACGTCAGCAGCCGACGCACCGTGTACACAACAGCTGACCTCAAACGCAGCGTAGCAAACAGGCGGTCGTGAAGAGATTCAATCATCTAACCACCTCAGGAGCTGGAGTCCTGCTCTGCAGACAATCAGCTGAATTCACTGAGTGTCGACAAAGAGAAGCCTGTTGAGGTGCTCGTGTTGCCGGTCTGATTTTGGTGGTATGATGTTTGTCGTTTCTGCTCCGAGTGCTGTTGTGAAATGATCCTGTAGGTGTCTGCAACCTCAGAGATCATCACCGAGACCACTGGATGAAACTACTCATGCCTTCAGTTGTATGTACGGAGACTTTAGGATGTTGTCCTTGGCTGTCCTGTGAGGGCTTTTCTTGCCTTTTGTGTGGAAAGAAAGTGGATTTTTAGGGTTTCAGATGAGCATTAGGTAGCGTATTTCTTCCCAGGACATCCAGATTATTGGTGGGTAGTCAGTCAGGAGGTGATGGTGTCAACAAGACAAAGGCTGCAGTGTGACTGTAGACAATCCTGAGAGAGAAATGTTGGATTTATTTATCGACAACATCTGGAAAAGTCATGATGCCAGCTTCAAAGTCTGCAGATTCTTCCTTCTTTTACAATATCTGGTTCAGATAAACGGTGTAATTTGGAGATGAGTCACTTACTGACCTTTTGGCAGCACATTCAAACCAGATAAAGCCAAGACTGAAATTCCTATGAGTTATTGCAAAACAATAAAAAATGTGGGCCATTTACCAATTTAGTTTGTTACTATCTGTACCGAGATCTAATGTATTAATGCCATGTAGCTTCTTCTTCGTTAGCGTCCACGTTAAGACGCAGCAGTTGGGAGTGAAGTCTGAAAAATAAATCCTCCCGTTTTTAATTTCTCCCTCTCATCAGTTCAACACTGTGCTAATAAGGCAGTGTCCTGCCAAACGCATAATTACATCTGCAGTTAATGAGCGCCGTGTTTTTCACAGGATCGGGATTATCGAGGAACCCTCCAGAGACCTCGGTCTTAACAAAATTATGGCGAGCAATTTGTGCTGGAATTTCTACTTGACAAATTGCAGATGTGGTAAATTCACACAGGGTCAAAATTACTGAAAGAATCTGCAATTATCACAAATAAGTGGATGTCCCCAGGTTATAGGGAAAGTGAGTCTCGGTTCTGGACGGATCCTTAAACGCAGGAAAATTGATTAAAAGCACATTTGCTATTACAAAAGCTCCCGGGAGCAGTTGTAGGTAAAGGCTGAATTAAACACACAGTGTGTGATTATTCTGCCAAAGCTAAAGCTAAGACAGAGTTGGAAGCTGATCACAGTTTCTGCCTGGATTGTTTCTGGAAACTGGGTTCCAGTATTTTAGATTTGATTCAGAGCAACGGTAGTTCATAAATTCTGATATTTTGCACAGAAATTCAGGGAAAAAACGCTAAATTTATGAAGTGATCTGTGTTTTTTTTTTCTGTAAACAGAGCTGTTCTTTGACACATGTTCTAAATGAGTATTCAGGTTCTTGCCAGATGAGTTCACATGATGCTGATTACGCCTAATAAACAAATCTCTCTGTGTTTTTGCAGAATAATAGTTTTAAATCTTGTGTGTGTGGTAACGTCCCATCGGTAGGGATGTGTTTATCAGCGAGCACTGATTGGAGGAAACTGAGTCGACCACAGCGACTAGAAAAACCTAGAAAGTATTGAAGACGTTTCTGATACCCCACATCAACAAGAAACTGCATTTAGTGGAATAATTAGTCTAAAAACGAGTGATCCGTGGAGCTGCATGTGTCAGAAACAGGCGTGTTTTAGTGACAAACGTGCCACTCAAACCCTAGTATGAGATAAAGACAGCTTGCTGGCATTTCTCCAGTAAAACAAACACTTATTGTGATTAGTAAACACGTATTGATGCATTTAAGGTCCTGTTTTTCTGTCTTCATTCATCCACAAGCTGCCCAGACCACAGCAAATGACTCGACGGCGACCCTCGTGTCCGACAGTAGGCACTTTATTTGAGCACAAAACACAAGGGAGCATTATTTTACAAGGCACAAGGCAATCAGCAGAACTTTACACGTACATTCTTCAGGTGGCATCAAATAGGGTTTTAAGAAAAGAAGAAAAAAAAAGCACGTGTGGAACAATATGTACATTCATAGATTGTGTTTTGGAAGCGCGTGTGCTTAAGGCAGGAAAAATGGAAAACATACAGGGATGAGTAAACAATGTACAGGCTGTGTTACAAGTTATGGAGAGAAAATAAATTAAACGTGGGCTTGGAAATTGAGAGAGCTGACTGATGAGCGGAGGGGTTCGTGTCCAGATCCCGGGATTGTAGGCAGGCTCAGCTGAACTCGATACCACTTGTTCTGGTTCTTTGCAAGGCACTGATTTGTTGAGTACAAGTGGAGCTGCACAAAAATGCAATATTAGGAGACATGAAAGAAAAAAAAACTGCAGAAAGGAGGGACTGTGCGGCTGAAAACTGCATCTTTTGCATGTGTTTCTACTCATTTTGTATTGTGTACGAGCTATTATGTTTCTCCGGTCCTCTAAAGTGAGAGCAATTTGCCTGTCCTCACCCCCTCACTGGGTTTTTTTTTTTTTCTTTTTTAATGTTTTGAGCTTTCAGTTAAGCGTACAAGTACAAGCATATTATGTTTTTCTCAAACTTTCTTTGCAACAGAAGTCTGGATTGCGTTTAGCTTCTCTTGTTGCAGTCGATAAGTTGGCTAAATGCTTCAAACATTGTTTTTTCCTGTGTCGGGCTCAACGGGGACACATTACAGTCGGTGGAACGACGTCCGTAATCTGGTCCTGATGAGCCGGCATGTCGACCCGTCGGAGCGTTGGACACCAGCGACGGTTGGGGACGGATTTCAAAGCACGCTCGCCAGTTTTGATCAGCAACCATGAGGCGAACAGAGAATTATTTCATAAACAACAGATGTTTTTTTTGTAATAAAATAATGGCCGAGGCAGAACAATCAGGAAGGAAGTGTCATTAAATCATAAGAATACGTGACGATGCCGACAGCCCAGCCAATCATTTTGCGGCAACGTGTTAAGAAATGAATTAACGGTGCAGGATTTAAATTCTTCCAGAAGTCAGAAAAGATCAAACTTATTTGCGCTGTGGTGACTCAGATTTCTACCTTACTTTACCTTTTAATACCTAAAGTAGAACAACCAAATGTCAGCGTCTAACCAGTGGCTAGCTGGTGGCCTTCTCCTTCCCTGTGTGAAGCTAAAAACAAACTGTTGCTCTTTTGAAAACACATAATCACATTCATCAAGTCTTAATGTTGTCAAAATACAAACAGAGCATTAATCTCTGATGGGAGCTCTAAACGGGACACAGCTGGAAACTGGTCTCGGTGCCGATTTACATGTGTTGTGTGGATCCTGCAGCTCTTTAAGTGTCTTTCTCCAGATCTGATGGGAGCGCAAGTAATGCACAGTGTCCTGAAATTATGGTCTGGCAGTTTCTGCAGTAATGCTACATGCTGTTGTCCAAAACCGCCGCGGTGCAGCGAAAACACACACACTGCAGCTACAGGGAGGAAAAAGTGTTTTACACGCATGTGAAACAATGAGCATTATTCAGGAACACGGTCTGAACTGCCAAGTCAAATACGGCCGGGTTGTGGTGATTTTATCTTTTACCATGTAATTAATTAAATTGACCTTGTGTTGGATTGAGAGCAGACCGCTAACAACATGTTAGATTCAAATAACAGCACACACTCTCTCCCTGGCTGAGATAGACAAAGACTTGTGCGTTCACATGGGACTGTTTCAGTGCAGCGTTTACAGAAATACAACTTTGATCACATTGGTGGTGCTTTAAACAAAAATGCTGCAGGATTTGAACTTAACCTAAAGTGTGGTTTGCATCGTCTGTCTGCATTCGTTTTTTTATATTCAGACTAGAGTGCAGTCATACACGGATAACGATGCTGTTTCCTGCATCTGAAGTCAAACTTGTGGTCGGTAACTGTTGGATCACAGTAATACAGGCTGTTCTTCTGCTTATTTAAATAAACCCAAATACCCTCAAACTTCAGTCCAAAATGTTGCACCTCCTACAGTAATGTGTATATTTTGCAAAACAAACATTTTCCTCTATGTTTGGGCCTCTTATCCAGCATATAACAACATCTATGTCTAATGAGCATCAGAAACGACAATAGCTGCATTTACAGATTTCTTTCTTCTGTGCCTGCTGTGCCCGACTATAACTGGTCCGCATAATCTGCAATTTCTAGTCTGCAGAAGCAATAAAATTCCTGCCTTTTCTGGTGCTTTGATGCGTGATTGATATAAAGTGGTTTGTTGTTTTTGTGTTGGAAATATTTCGTAAAATGACGGTCATGTGGAGACGATTATTTAGTGTTCTCGTTAGTGTGGTCGAGGCCTTTCTTTCAATTCACGGAGCTAAAAGAGCGTCTTAACATTTCTGGACTGCGCTGCCAATTTTCTGTGGGTGTGAATGCATGATTATATTATTGTAGTTTTGGGGAAGTTTTTCTATTTTACATAACTTGCAGTTTGAGGTCGGCTCTAACCGGCTGTACGGCTGCATCCAGAGCTACCGTATATTACTTTGTGCATATTTCTTAAAATGCAGCAGTTTATGCAGATGCCTTGAAATGCAGGGAGGACGTATTTTGACACTACCCCACTGAGTGCCGGCACGCTTATGGTTTTTATGTTCCTCTGCACGCGCGCGCTATTTATTTACTGATGTTGTGACAGTGCTGAGAGACGAGCAGGCTCGCTCTGCAGGGTGCCGCAAATGAAAAACATTTGAAAAACAGAAATTGAACAGACCTACCAGTACGAGCCACGAGTTGTGCTTACTGCAAACATATGTAATAAAGTGATCGCTGGACTTAATCCCAGAAGGACTACTGCCAGTTGTTTGCAGCTGGATTTATGCGTCTCGGGAGGTATTCTCTTCTCTCCTGCACTCACTGCTACACAGGAAGGTCACAGGTCGCCAGTCGGCGGCGGACCAGAAACTATCTCTGACTTCTGAGCGAGGAGCGATGATTTGTAGATCGGAAAGTGAGAGGATCCATCGCAGTGAGTGTCTGTTAAAGCGGCACTGAGTTCGATTGAGAAGGGAAAGTTTTTAGGGCATTCTTTAGGACAAATCTAATATTTGTCCAAAAAAAAAAAAAACAATTTTCCCAATTTCAACACAAACTTTTCTCGAGGAAATTAGTTTTTTATTCTTTATGTTCCAAGTTAAAATCTTGTGGAACTTTTGAGGCTGCTGACCACCTGTTTGGAACCATGGAGCTAGATTACACACCACCTTAGATGCTTTTCAGGCGAGTTTAGACCAATTTTAACTTTTTAGATTTATTCAAATAACTAAATCCATGCCAACCGGGACGCCTGCACTCAGATTAGCAGCTCAAAGATGTCCTAAGTCACTGTCTGGCTTCACTGCACATCTTCACATACGCAGGGAAAGTTCAGACATTTGTTTACTGTCTGGGCAACACTGTGCTACACATGTTCACGGCCGCACAACTGTCCAGCACAAACACAGCTCGTCGAAGGAAAATGTTTTCCCAGCTGGTCCAGGGAGCCGTGCTATCACAATACGAGAGCGTACGTTGCATTATGGTGATTGTTGAAGTTCGCCCTGGATAACAAACAGTCTCCGGTTCAGACGGAGAGCGAGCATCGTGTGTGTGATGCTGCGGAGGGCTGAAAGGAAGTCCAGCAGAAACGTGACCAGGTGCAATTGCAACGGTGGTCGAACACAAAATGAAACCCGCCGTCAGTTTGGTGCTTGGAGCAGCGAAATAAACGGGCAAACCTGTAGTGTAACGCAGCCTTGCGTAGATTACAGGAACACGTGACCCACAGCGCCAGAGGCTCACTCTGGATGTCACCTTAGAAACCGTGTGTGTGCGTTAATCCTTTCTCCGTCACGCCAAACAAAACAAGGTGTGAGTCAAGTTGTTTGACCTCAATTTCTGAGTTGTGCTCTGAACAAACACATACTGTAAATGCACACACACACATATATACACACACTCATTGCGTGCCTGATCACTGACAACTACCAGATGGCACGGGGAGGCAAGACAGCGTGGATTAATGAGTGTGTGTGTCAGAGTGTGTTTGTGTTTTTACACTCGATGTGACACCGGATGATGTGTGTGTCTGCGGAGCACCGGCTGGCCTCAATGTGCTGCGAGGTGATGTGTGTATTTCCAGACAAAAAAAAAAAGACGGCGTGTAGGGGTTGAGTTTGTGCTCGGCGGTGCATGGTTTATGTCTGAATATCCTCTCCGGCTCCTTCCAGAGCTTTCTTTTATAGTGCTACCGACTCTGCTCCGTGTTTTCCTGATATTCTCATGAAGAACAGCTTCACTGAGGGACCTTTTGTTCTAAATTCGCAGCATATGGGCGGGTTCCAGCCTTATAAGTGTTTGAATTGCTCAAAATGTTTGCACGTGTGATTGTGCGCATCGTTGTTTCTGAGCGACTGGGGACCGTGTTCATCTGTTTGTGTTTTAGCGCTGATAACAACATTTAGGTTTTGTTTTCTTGTCAGCGGCTAACTGATTGGCACGTATCATGTCAGTGTCTTGCGGTTGCGTGTTAAAGGAGTAGTTGCATTTTGGGAGTTTAGCACAGAAGCTAAAGATACCACGAACAGAACAGTTTGACATTTTGGAAGATGCTCTTGCTGAGATGAGGCTGCTTTACCAGGAGTTGCCTGGTCGATTTACTTTGCTAACCTGACCCACAGGTGACATAAGCCCACTGTCATGTTGCCGTTTCCCCTCTGTGCTCAGCTAAGCTAACTGTTTTATGGATTTAGATTAATAAATTAAAAAAAACAGACATAAAATCTGATGCTTGGCCTGAAAGCACATCTGTGTATTTCCAAAATGACAAATCATACCCTTGAATTTCTGTGTTAAATTCACATCCTAACTAAAAAGAAGAGAGTACTGCAACTTCAGAAGTTCTGTTGTTGGTTTTGTGCACACTTGCTGTAGTTTGTATTGAAATTTGTTGTGTTGCAGATCAAATGTCGAGTAAAAGTGTGCTAAATCTGTGCTACATGTGAAGGTTCTACCTACGAGTTGCACATACTTCTGGAGAGCACTGTGGAAATCAGTTCCTCTAACCTTAAAAAGTTCACTGTTCCTGCACGCTCACTTGTGAACCCTTGTGATTGCGCAACAAGCCTATTTGCACGTTCTGCTCAAAATAAAACACGATGCAGCTTCACAGGTTAGACGAGAAAGACGAGATGGATAAAATGGTTTAGACGGAGAAAGAATCGGGGGAATGCGAAAGCGAGGGAAGAGATCAACAACGCCGGCTGGTCAGGCTGCATACCGCCCTCAGCCTCTCTCTCTTTGCTTTCATCTTCCTCTGCTGGGCTCATTCTTCTTGGCCTTTACAAGACTTCTCCCTCTTCCTCCGCCTTTGCTTTCATTCCTCCTTTTCTTTGCCGACTCTTGTTCGAAAAGCTCTCGGCTCTGTCCACAGTATCCAGTAAAGAGAGGCGCTCCTTATCCTCCGCTGAAAGTCTTTGCATAAAAATCCACAGTTCTAGTGTTGCGAGCAGACAACCCAAGTGGTTTTAAGTCCAGTCAAAGTATCATACACAAGAATTACCTTTAAAATCACCACAGTCTATTGTCCAGATCTCATTCTCAGCCACACATATGTACAGTACTCATGGCACGCTTAAAGTTATACTCCAAAAAAAAAAATCTTGCTTTGGTTTGATCTTTGATTTTCTTCTGCCACCCTTCAACAGTCCGTCCCCACAGCTTCGACGCAGAGGACCAAGTTTTTATTGTGTGTACATTCTTCAGTCTGGGATCCAAATCCAAGGGTCCGATCGCTTCCCACAAAACGGTCGCCGAAGGAGAATCGAGATTTATGCATTGATTTGGGATGCAGACCGCGCAGTAGCCAAATTTTATTTTTTTTCGGGGCTTTTCTCATCCTACGGGAAGGTTTTTTGATGTTTTTCTGTGGCTCGCTTCTCTTTTTGCCATCCGAACAGCAAATTCTCTCCTCAGGAATCAACTGTAAATCAATATCCTCACATTTATTTTCCATGATTGCACATGTGTCTCTGTATAATCTTGCTCTCGACGGTTAGGTTTCTCTTAATGGAGAGTTGGAAAGACAAATCCACTTTTCCCTTTCGCTCCATCTTCTCGCGTTCATCACTCAAGCGACCCTTTCAAACTCCAACCCTTCCATCCTTCAATGTATCTGTCCAAGCAAACATTGAGGATTCAAGATGCAGGGCAACATCCCACACGTCCGTCTATACGAGCCTTTTGTTTTTTCTCCAATCAATGGATATTAAAAGGCCCCTAGCTTAATGTCTCCAGCCCATCTGTTTGTCCGTCCATCGTCCCAAGTGTTCTTTCTTCTCCCATCGCTTCCTCTCAGAGGTCCAGACGGAAGGCGCCAAAGTAGCTGGAGGAGTCGTCGGCGTTGACCATGGTGGGGGAGGAGACGGAGACGAAGAGCTCGTCGCCGGCCCTCAGCTCGAACAGTCCTCCCTGGTAGACGGAGTGAAGGGCGTACTCGGCGTCCGGGGCCCAGCACTTGGTTCCGACCCCCTTCAGGAGCTGAAGAGGAAAATGAAGGTGAGGCGGTTGCTCGATGTCATTCAGCATGATGGTTGGTTGTTTTGGGTAAAAAAAGAAAGGATGCTGTACCTGAATGGGGCTCGGGTAGGAGGTTTTCTTGTAGACGCACTGCACCAGCTGGTGGCTGACGCTGCGCTGGTCCCCGTCACTGGCTGCTGGGGACGGATAGCGAAAGTACACCTGGAGGTAGGAAGTAGACAAATAATAAGAATATAACGAAGGCTGCAGGTCATACGTCAATACGTCGTGCATCATCACATTTGTGTGCCTGCCACAGCTGTGTCGATGCAGATTTACTAAAAAACTTCTGAATCTTTGAAAGTGTTTTTATTAGTCGGCAAATTAGCAACAGGTGGATGACACCTTGAACTTCAGGAGCTTCTGATGGGCATCTGTCGCTATGCAAAAATGCATAGACTAAATTACTACTTAACAAACTAAGAGATTAATTGATAAGGAAAATAATCAGGATATTTAGTTGATCCTCTAAAGGGGTATTGCAATGTTGCAGCAGCAATTTACACAAAATGCACATAAAAACAATTAAATACACACTGTATTAGATAAAAATAAAATAGATTAAAAAAAAGAAAAGAATTAGAAGGTAAGTTATGTAAAGTGCACACCTTTAGTGAGACAAAATTAACCGATATGGAAATTATAAGGAAAGTGGAAAACATAGCAGTCGTGACCTTAGTGGATATTGTTTGTTTTTAATCCACATTTAAAGCATTTGATCAGTGTGTCTTCTCTGGTCGTTGTTGGTTATTTTAACCACCACTTCTCCTCAAATAAAAACTTCTTTGACACAAACAAAGGCATGCAGGGGAACAAATAACTCCTGTTATATATATTGTGCAAACGATATGAGCATGATGTACATTTCTTCTGCCTTAATTGAACAAATTATCCAATATAACCATATATACAGATTTTAAAGACTAGTTGTTCAAGATTACTCCTCTAAAGTAATACTGTCAAATTGTGGCATTTGATTCATTCATGTTGAACCAATTTGCTTCGTCCACCTTAAACTCTGTCTGTTTGTTGCTGCATATGGTGTGACTTTAAATCAATCACGATTAAAGCTGTGTTAGTAAATTATGGGTTTCTGTGCTGGGAGAGGACTTTCAGTTTGAAATGGTTTCAGTTTGTATGACTGAATAATTGGTCCACATCATCTGCAATTACTTGTACTACAGTTTGCAGGAGAACATGGCTAATTATACTTACCAAACAAATTCATTACAACCCTACTTTAACTAAAGGCCTGTTTGGCAGCTTCTAACTTTGAGGAAATAACTGTGTAGCTTTGTCACCTGCGAGTACAGGTAGTACCGCCCATCCTGAGGCACTCGCAGCTTCCCATTGGACAGGGTCATGTTGTGCAGGTGCGCTCCGAAGCTCTGATTGGCCCACGAGCGGACCACGTGGCGACAGGACTGGTGGAGTCCTGGCGTGGGGATCGGGTAGGGAGGAAACCCTGTTGGTAACGATGACGACAGAGTCGTGAGAGACAAGTAGGAATGACAAAACTCCACAGCTGGAAAAATAGGTGAAAATGTGAACAGGGAAAAACTATCATTTGAAAATATTGAGTCTTTGACACCATTTCTAGAAATCGCAGCTCCGTTCCTATGAAAATGAAATATGAGCCAAGTTTCAGACTGAAGGAAAGGAAGGTGCATCGTGTTGGAGAGTGTCTGCCAAAAGCTCAGCAGCAGCAGCAGCTGACAAAACGTACAGAAAACAGAACCGCTGGTGTAACGCGTGACCCAGGAGGAGCAGTCCTCCAAGGCTAGTTTTAAATCTGCCACGGCTGAGCAATGCATTGTTCCCTCCAGTTTTAGAAATATTGTGAAACACTGACAAACAAAACGTTACAGACAGAAATTTGGGATGTTTCATAACCCTGAAGACAATCTGATTACTTCGTACTGGAAGCATGACAGCATTTGTGTCCCATGTTGAGTATATAATATAGCATATGGAGTGAGAACACGTTACGTTTCTGCTTCGTGGTCAGCAGGGAGATGATGTCCAGGGATTTAAGCAGCATGTAAATTTAAAATTTAACTGCTGCGCTGAGCCTTTCCACCTGCACGCCACCACACGCCATAGATAATCAGTGGATGTATTTCTTTGTGTGCGTCGGTTTTTCTGCAGTAAACTCCGTAGATTATTCTGTAATTTGTGACCATGCAGCCATAAAGTCTCTCCATTTGCCCGTCATCCCATTACATGCTAACATTCCCGATTTTCAACCTCTGAAGCTCAGCAGCTGCTGTCACATAAAACTCTAAGTGACCTCTGAAACGTTCACTTTCCTTTGTCGTCTTTCTTTGTGTGACTTTCTGTGGTTCTGACTTCAGACTCTCCTGCAGCCTGCACGTAAACATTAAAAACCTGAGGTGAAAGGTTTAAATGGAGTGTCCTCTACAAAGCATTCTTCGTGGTGAAAACGTGGTGCTTGTGGGCTTCGGTCATCCCGAGTGTAATGTTGAATGTAAACACTTGTTGCTCTGAGGAGCCTACATCATGTTATTTGGGGTTTTCCCTCGTCTTTGGTGCGTTACAGCTTCTTTGTGCATGTAAAAGTCGGCTAAATTACAGAGAAACACACAAAAGAAAACACAGAAAACTTCGCAACACCTCGTTTGAAGTCCACAACATTCTTCTTCTTCTTCTTCACCATGGAGCACTTTTGCACAGCAGCTGGTTTGGCCCTCAAACAAAGAATGAGCAGCTTCCTTACAGTCCCTCATTATTTCCTCGCTGGAGCTTTATGCTCCCTATTACAATACATAACTAATGTTCGTTGCTTTGTTGGAGCAGCTGACCAATTAGAGCTTAAATAGGCAGGAGCCAAACCAGAGCGTGAAAAGAGGTGCTGCAGAATTTAGTGAACATTAAAGCATGTAAAGCTCTACTAGCAGACCCCTAAAACAGAATTATAAATCTGTAAATGTGCACAATATGGGTTGTTAAATGAATACAATCATGATGCGTGTTTTGTTGACTGTGGGGTTGTATTTCCTATAACCGGTCTGTTAATAAGCCTCATCTGTGGCCGTTTATGACAGTCGAAAGACGACTTGAAGTCATGCGGTAATGTAGCATGAAGTAGGAGTTGTGTTGGTAATGTCAGCTGCAGTTTAAGTTGAGTTCCTGTCGTGCTGAAGTTGTCAGTTTGTACCAGACATGATGAATGATTTTCATATTGTCCTCCTGTGTGTGCTTGTGCATATCTTGTACATGGTGGAGGGATGCAGGGACGCAGGACTCATCATCAACAGAAGCTGTTGTGAATAATGATTAGCACGTCGTGATCTTAAGGAACTATGCAGATTGCTCTGTCGCTGTAATTGCTTGTGCCGTGCCCGTTTCCTGCTCCTGTGTGCGACGGTGCTGCAGCAAACACGGGATTGTTTTTTTAAATTTCTTGATAATTGCCGATTAGATGACACATCAAAGATCCCCTCTCGATGTCTGTCCCTGCTGCTGTGTTTCCTCATGAGAAATCTGCGCTGAATGTGTGAACCTCACCCTCTCTTCCTCCTTCACTCACACACACACACACACACACACACACACACACATACACAACTAGTTCCTTGCCCTTTGTCAACTGGATGGAAATAACATGAGGCGGCCTTTGCCAGATTGTCAACACCCTGCAGTTTGCACGCCAGTCTCAGATTGAACGATACAAAAGTCTGGATAACACACACACACACACACACGAACAACACATTCCAACTTTGAAATCCACGTTTCATAACATACGTACACGCCATTATTCTTCTACAGCATGACGCAATCCTAATAAATCTGTTTTAGTGTCTCGTATGCACTTAAAAAGACCGTGTACATCATGGCAGCTGAATCCTCTGAGCGTTAATGTTCTCTGATGGATCATTGAAACACATGCGTCTAAAAAAAAGAAAGAAAAGCAATCATGCACTTTGGTTATTTCTTAGATTTGTTGTCGGTCTACTGGGAAAATGTCTGTCTGCTGGGTTAAGAATACACAAACAGCTTTACTTTGTCAGTTTTGATGATGTTGAAGGTTGTGTTTGAATTTTTGTGCCTCGTAACGTCTCCTGAGTGATTACAATCGACTCCTGAGCCGGTTCACATCGGACCCTTTTAGAAAGTCTGAGGAGCTCAGCACAGATCTGGAAAAGGAAGTCGTAAGCCTTCGTTTTCTCTTTCCTCTAAATCTTCCTGAGATCTCTGACCCCCGAAGCAATAATCTTTGGAGCGAGATGGCTCACCTTGAGAACTGGTGTCCCTGAGGGTCAGGTGGGCAGATGGCCTCTGGGCCACAGAGGTCACGAACTTCGACCCCGAATTGTTGAAGGAGCGAGGCATGGTTCTGGCCTCTGAGGCAGGAAAGAAGTCACAGAATGTCAGAAATGAGGCTGGAGATGAAAGGAGTTGTTCTGCATGAGTGTCTGTGTGTGTGTGTGTGTGTGTGAAGGATGCTCACCAATGAAGGTTTGTTTGGAGATGATGTTCTCTGTCACCTGAAAGACAAAATGGAAACACATCGGTTAAGACAAATAACAACAAAGAACCCAATCAACATCCCTCCTGTCTGCTCACACAAGGAAAGAGCCGTGGATAATACAGCACAGTACTGCTAGTGTTATGTGTACTAAGCATTTGACGCAGTCTAAACATTAGTTTGTCTTGTGGCAGAAGTAATGTGGTGTTCAGAGTCATGAGTCTAAAGTTGATTCTAAAGCAGCGACTGTTTTTTCTTCTATTTTATGACGAATAAAAAGCCAGGACTGGTTTTCTGGGTGTGTATTTATGTTGCAATGGACATAACTGTATTGTCTGTGTTCAATGTAAAGTCTTTATGACACCTTCTCAGCACTGATAACATAAAATATTCCTTTTAAACAAACAAAAAAGTCTCATATGCAATTCTGTGGATGTTGTTTACAGAGAGGACATAAATATTAAAAATTATGATATAAAATATAAAGTGATCAGCTGCTAAGATGGGCGATAGATGCATCACGTCACCTATTATTAGTTTTTATGTTATTATGTTATTTAATTTGGTTCATTGTCCTAAAAAAAGCCCCAAATCGTTCATGCTCGTACCAAATTTTAATTTATAGTGAATTTTTGTTTGACCTTCTTCTGGCTGCAAATGACATAAAATAAGTAACGAATGTTGGGAAAACATTGTGTTCGAGATGTTAGACTTGTTTTTTTCCCTCCATTTTCATTAAACATGCCATCCATAGAGTTATTTAGACCCTGTCTCAGTAATTAATGTCAAAGCTTTCATTTGCAACCACAGATGAGGAGCTGATCTGTATAATTACTGTACATATAGTATAATAACAGTCTTTCTGCATGTCCCACGGGGACTTTGTTCCACTCCTCTTTGAGACGATCTCCTGGTATTTCACGCTGACGTCTTTCTTGCCGTTCCTCTGGTTCTTAGTTCCCTCTACAAAAATTCCTGACAGGATTTATTTCTGTTCACCGTTGTCTTGTTGGAAGGTTCAAATCCACCCAAGGCCAAGTTTCCTGCAGACTGCCTGATGTTTTCCTCCAAAATCCTGAATGTGGTCCTGTTTTCTTACGATGCCACTAATTGCCGGCACATCGGCTTAAAAACACCCCCAGCGCATCACATTCCCATCATGCTTCACTGTCAGGTTGGTATTCTTAGGATTGAATGCTTCTTCTTTCTTTGAACAAAAATCCCATCTCTGTGTCCAAACCACTCCATAAGCAGAAACTTTCTTCTTGGTCCAGCTGAGCTTTTGTGCGTCTGTCTTGGAAAGATGAGCTCCTCCTCGGTCTACGTCCATGGAGACCAGCCTTGTTCAGCGTCTACGGTGTTTCTCCCCAGAACTGCTCACATTCATCAGGACTTTCCGAACGGTGCTGATCCTTTGGATTCTTCTTGCCGGTGCAGAGGTCGCTCCTGGCTTCCTACCAGCCCTTTGAGATTGTTCACAGCGTGGAACTCTTTGCTTTGTTGAGAACACTTTGCTTCACTGACTGTAGAACGACTGCATCAGCCCTTCTAAACAGTGCGTCAGAACGCCCCCGTGGTGGGTACAAACCATCGAAACATTTCGACCGTTTCAAGGGAAACTTCTTCAGTAAAAATAACGATTGGAACCCATCCATATGTATTAACATCCGTAACGTGATGTCTCACTTTCTTTTGTCACATGTTTATATGATTTGCAGCCATAGGAAACCTATTGTCAGATAAAAATCCACTATCAATCAAAATTCGGTATGAGCCGGAGTAAGTTTGGGCCAAATTGCACATCTGTCTCGCATATTGGTATTTTCTCGCTGAAGAGAGAAAATGTGCCACATCCTCTTCTCCTCCTTCCAGCATCACAGTACTAAACTATAAACTTCCTTCTCTCCCTGCAGACAGCTCATTTCTCCTGTCTGCCCTATCTCTGCTTTATTCCTCCTGCTCCTCCTCGTAATCACTCACTCCCGATGAGCGGCGCCCCGTTTCATCTTCCTCACTTCCAGATAGAGCCAAGGCACGGAAATATACCATTTGTTCGAACACACAGATGCATTTTATCACTCTCACACACGTAATTTTTCCGCCGATGCTTTCTGTGCTCGCTTTGACTCCTTGCTTTTGTCCGTCCCACTTAGTAAATCAAGCTTCAGCTGCCTTCGTTTCATAAATATTTATATACATACGAGTCTTTCCGTCCTTTCAGCTTCATACCATCTTAATCTCTTCTCGCTCCCCCTTCAGTCAGAATTACTTCGACGTCTTTCACCTTTTTTGTCAATTCTACGTCTACTTTTTTTCATTTTCTTCCCTTTTATTTTCTCCACATACTGTATGTCTTATAACCAAAAAGGTCACAGGTTTAATCACCTGTTACAAGTCATGTGGCCGGTCTTTAGTGCCCCTGAGCAAGGCACCGAGCCCCTGTTGCTATAAATCTCCAGATTAATTTGCTGAAATGCCACAAAGTCCTGAATATAATTAATTCCACCAGCGTTTTTTTAATGGTCACCCGGCTACATATGTGGTGTTGTTCTTGGCAGCGGGTCTGTTTCTCCTGCACCGAACACTCAACTCGACCTGCAAATTGGACGTGATCGCTGTGGGCTTTGGCGTGCGAGTGTGTGCGTGTGTCTCGGTGTGAACTGAGGCAGGGCGCCCCCCACTCGTGTATATCCTATATACTCTGAGGGGAACACAATACAGTAAAGTGCAGAGCGTCTACTCGGAGCTAAGTGTAGCGTGCCAGTCTCCGCATCACGTTCCTCAAGTCACTGAAAGCAGAAAATTGCCCGACACACACACACACATACACACACTTGAAGAGAAAGACAGAAAATTGCCAACAGATTTTCTGCCCTGCATGTGGCCACAGTCGAACCAAAAAAAAAGAAGAAGAAGTAAACACGAGGAATACGTGGGTTTTTCAGAAGCAGGAACCCACTGGAAGCTTTCAGACGTTCTTCAGGGGCGACTCCAGCACAGCATGTTTTCAATATACACATTTAGCATCGTGTGCTGTTTTTAATGCTCGCATGTTCACATGGGAAACTATTAGACGGCTAAAGAGTGAAATCAGCTGTGGCGGCTGCATGCATAATTTATGCTCTGCACAGAAGTGGAAGCTTTCTGAGAGCATCCTGAGAGATTTCTGACCAGCTGCATGTTGAGAGGTGAACACCAGTGTCATGTAGCGTTGCAGTCCATTTACAGTGTTTTCTGCCTCCCCGTTGGCATCTGGTTTGTATTTACAACCTAATGTATGACGTTAGATATGATAAATTTAGAGTAAATGGCGTCAAGGGTGCTCAAGATTAACCGCAAACATTATTTTAAAACCAAGAATGCAGCAGTGATGTTAGTTAAGACGTATAGTACACTTTTGAGAAATTAATTCCTGCAGGAGCTTTCCATGAGGACGAAGAAAAAGGTGCTGAAAGGGGGTAAATTGATTGCTGGTATCTTAAAGCATAAACACATCTGCATCCTTCTGAGTTACTCAACGCAACATATCCCGCAGGTGTGATCAGATCACAACAATTATAACAGTTAATATGCTGCATTTTCGGCCCTGCAGGTGGTTTCAGTGTGATAAATGTGCAGTAAAAAAGAGCTTACAAGATTATTTTTTTAAAGCTTCCTGCAGCTTGAAGCCATTAGTCTTCCCTTTAAATGAAAGGTCAGTCGCGGATAACATCATGGAATAATTTCAGGCAATAAGGGCTTCTAACAAACAACAGCAGCATGTGATGTACAGTGTAAACGTAAATGTGAGGCGTGCGTCTGCAAAAATGGGCTCAGCAGCACACTGAACTGTTGACAGAATATTTGGTGTACTAGTTGTGTAACGTGGCTAGAAATCAAATCTGAATCTCTATTTTTCTCCATTTTCTCTGACGCTGATTGTGCATGACTCTGTATGTATACATGACACCAAATATTAAATGACTGGTGGAAGGTGGATAATCAGAGAGGCAGTCGGAGGTAACTCAGAGGGTAACGCAGCAGCTTGTGTACCTATACGTAAAATATGAAAAGCATATGGAATTCTCAGATACATGCCAACTTTCACCCCAACTACAGTCCATCTGGAGGAGTCTGGAACCTGGAAAGATTTACTCGGACTTACTCGCGTGTCAGAGGTCGAGCCAGTTATTTGAGGCGTGCACCAATTAAATAGTTCCCCGCAGCTAGAATGACTGAAGAGTGCACTGATAGCACGCCCAGGCTGCATTTAGTGCTTCCAGGTGAGAGTCCGCTTCTGTTTTTGGAAAGACGTTCTCCATGTTTGCTGCTCCTCCTGTGATAGAGATGTTTGCCTCGGCGTTCTTTTATGGAGCACCCTGGGAGCCGTAGAAGTTTAAGGCTCCGTAGTTGGATGTCTTCTTAATGTCTTTTCATGTTAGATGTTTGCGTCTTCTCAACTGCCATACGTATGGGAATAATAGCTTAGCTTTTCTTTTTCCAAAGTTCCTCCCCTCTGAATCAGTCACACATGGCTCATTTATGTGCCTCCTTCACACATACATCATCCTCCACACTCAGGATTGCAAATTGGAATATTTTACTTGTGTGTTTATCAGTGATGTGAATTGAATGTAAAAGGAACAAGCACAAAAGGGTCTTAAGTCTTTCATCTAGGAGAACTAACATTTCTAAAGTGAGCAGCGTGCAGGATTTAGCTGCAGCAAAGGTTTCGTAATCGCCTCTGGGACGGCCCAGGTGTTTTTTTTTTCTTTTCGGGAAGTATTGTTAGTGAGCAAACATTAAAACTGCAATGACAAGAAAGCATCACCATTTGTGGACCCACTGAGGTGGAAATGTTGTTGAAGGTAAAACCCAGTGATGCCTAAGCTTGGTCTTGCAGGAATGTTTATTGCATCGGTCAAAAATAGAGAAAAGCTATGAGCTGAATAAATGATGAAACACTAAATAACACAGTTTTAGCACCCGGTGATGCTTTGATGAGCGTTGAGAGAGCGGTAAATCCCACACATGTGACCT